GCAACAATGAATGAATGGAAACCCAAAATCTCTGTAAATGTTTATGAAAATTAATAAAATATAATTATAGAAAAAAAAAAGAAAGGGGGGGAAAATCTCTGACCTCAAAAACGAGTGCTCAGATTCTCATCACCACGATGCCATTATCTGTTAGTGATCCAGAATGTAAGGGACAAAGGAGACTCCCCTAAGGAAACTCAGTAGATTGATGAAGACGCCCAGTTGTTCACTTACACCTGATGATAATTTTTTAACATTTCAATCTCCTCCCCTCACTCAATTCGCCCTTTAGAGGTGTGACTGCGACACCAGACATTAGCACATTGACACCTGACGAGGGACCTGACATCCTGAAGGCCCCAACCCTGCCCCTCAGGAGACTCATAGTGTCATAGAAGCACCAAACAACAAAAAGAATAGCAACTTCATACATGTAGCTTCTTTTAGCGACTGTATAATTTTTTAGATTTAAGTTTCCATTTGTCCCAATTTTGTGGTAGTGTTGGCAGGAAGGGGGAGTATTTTAATGGATGATTAATATACATTTAAATTATGCGGCCAACACCCATCAGTTAGTTTGTCACACTGTGGTGACTTATATGTTGCTATGATGTCGGAAGTTCTGCCACCAGTATTTCACATAGCAGCTGGGTCATGTATGGTAGTCAAGCTTCAGCAGAGCTCTCAGACTAAAATGAACCAACATCAACTAGAATGAAAGGACTGCAAATCCAATTCTGAAAATCAGCCAGTGACAATCCCATGAGTCACAACAGAGTATTGTCTGGTAAGATGGTAGAGAACCAGGAAATGTTTCCTTCTCTTTTTTTTAATGTTTCCTTCTGTTGCATGTGGCCTTGTCATGAATCAGAGCCAACTCAGTGGTACTCAATACCAACAACAACTACAACAAATGACAGGGAGATAGTGAGTAAACACCCGTGTGGTTCACCTGCATCACGGCTCATCTCAGAACCCACTCTGAGCCCCTGCTGCTCTCTGTCAGTAGTACAAACACCTGCCCAGTTTGTACTACTGATGTTATCTGTCATTCACATGTTACTTTACACTATGCAATGAAACTCTAAAAGAGAAGGAGCTGTGTTCTCCCTGGCTCTCTCTAACAAGTTGTTATTACTTGCCTTCAAGTCAGAACTGACTCATAGCTGACCCTCCAGTGGGTTTTCAGAGGCTGTAAACCACCAGGGAAGAGACTGCCCATCTTTCTTCCACAGAGTAGCTGGTGAATTTGAACCCCTTGCCTTTGGGTTCACAGTGTAATTACTTACCATTAGGCCACAAGACCTTTCTCTTCTTATAATAGATGTGTTGTTGTTGTTGTTATGTGCCATCGAGCCGTTTCTGACTCATAGCGACCCTATGCACAACAGCTCTAAACCCTGCTCTATCCTGCGCCA